TTTTTATAAAATAAATTATTGCATCTATTCATATTTTAAATTATTAAAACTTAACTAATTTAGTTTGTTTTAATAGTCATGTAATACTTCATTTAATGTTTACTATAGCTCTAGCAATTATTACATTTGAAAATTCTTCTCAAAATATTATGATATAATATGATATGTTTCACCACCTATCTCTCGGTTAAATTGTTTAGTTAGATAAATTAATAATCATTTAGATATWAATGAAGGTAATTGCATTATTAATTTTGTGTTTTTAAGTTCAAATACAGTCCAGCAGTRTTGATGAATTAAATTCTTCTTCATCAACAGAACATTATGAATCCAACAATTATTCTGAGCATGAATTAATATCCAAAACCTTGTTAGAATGGTCGATACAATTTGGTATATGTCAAAACGCATTTACTTCATTATTAAAAATTCTTAAGGAACATAAATGTTTTRAAAAGACTCTTCCAATGGATTGTAGAACTTTGCTTGGTTCTGGCTCCTCTAAAGTTGTTGGTATAAAAAATATTAATCCTGGTATTTATTATCACTTTGGACTTGAGGCAGGCATTAGAAGATTTCCCAAGAATTGTACTGGTGGTGATACAATAATGTTAAACATAGGAATTGATGGACTTCCGTTGACAAAGAGTAGTTCTAGTGCATTTTGGCCTATATTAGCATATATTTTTCCATTTAATAATGATGTCTTSCCTATTGGAATATATTGGGGAAATGAAAAACCAACCGATAGCAATCAATTTATGCAAGATTTTGTCGATGAAGCTAAGAATATAATTGAAAATGGAATCATAGTTAATGGTTCTTTAAAAAAAGTTTCGATATTCGTGTTTTCCTGCGATACTCCAGCAAAATCCTTCATCTTAAAAACAAAAGGTCACTCAGGCTTTAGTTCATGTAATCGTTGTATTCAAGAAGGAGAATACCTTAAAAACCGTGTATGTTTTCCATATAAAAAAAATAGTAGCACTAAAAGAACACA